TATGCTGCAATGGGGCTTATAGATGTTTCTCTAATAATACTTAATAATAAAAACCTTAGGACTCTTTTACTCCTTTCTAATTCTATAGTCTCAAGCAATATGAGTAGAGGCCGTGTCAATCTGTGAGTTCCAGCTGGGAGCAAAATGCTTCTGCCTGTTTTGGGGCCTTGGGTCACTGGAGCCTAAAGTGTGAAAGTATAAGGATTTGACTTAAAAGAGCCAAGGAAGCAGTGATGCACGGAGCAGAATTGCCATTTTAACGGAGAATGTAATGCCAGAACAAATGTCATGAATGGTCTTGCACACGGATATAGAATTTAGAGATCTATTTGTTTCCATATACATCGTGATGCATCTAACATAATCATAGTCATAAACATCAGCTACAGCTAACATAATCATAGCATCAAAATGTTATCGAGTGCTAAAACTGGCACAGTGAGAACAATGACAACTTTGGGGTCATATTGTTTGGATTCAGACTCAGGTTTCTATGCTTACTGATTTTGTACTTGGGCAAGTGAAGTGACCTGATAATCTCTGAGCCTCAGTTTCGTGGCATGGAGATACCTACCACAAGTAGTCAAGATAAATGGAATGATGAGATGCTCCATATGAAATACGATATTGAAAAAACAGCAGATATTTGTTGGGTATTTACCAATTGCCAGGGGCTGTTCCTAGTTTTCCTTTATAAGGTATGTACTATTAGACTGTTAGAATATTGGTATCAGCCTGTGCCTAACAATGTGCTTTTAAAATAATTCATCCTTTCAGTAGATGTTAGGTTAACTGTGGTTCTTCCTAGCAAAGCTTTCTGGACTGATTCAGATTTTTAGCGTGAGCCTGGATTTGTGTATGTTCAACTTCCACTCTGAGATTCAGCCTCAGGTTTAGCCTCTTCTTGTCTCCTGGCTTCTGGATGAATATGACCATTGCTCAAGATAGCTGCTTCAGGAGAGCACTCTTGCCACCTGGGCAAAGGTCAGACTGCATTACAAGCCTGTGGGTAGCATACTCATAGCTTTGGTCCAACTCAGTTTCTCTCTTTAAATGTTTGTTTGTTCTTTCATTAGGGACTTACAATTTTTGTTTTGTAGTTATTCAATACCCTTCAGAGCCTTTTTTCTGTGAACAAAAAGCAGCATTTGTCCTAGGCTCATTTATAAAATCTCAATTGTTCACTGTTTCTGAAGATTGTTTTCTCAGGATAGCCCAGCTCTCTAAAGATGTTAATTCTTTTTTGACTCTGTTTATAATCAGATTTGCTTTTGAAACACCCTTAAATCCTACTGAAAGTGTCTTCTGGGTTGTGTGTTTCCCTGAGGATGCAGAGGCAATCTTTTGGCAAACGTGTTGCCGTTCCATCCCCTGTTCCCATCCCCAAACCATGAGAGTTGCCAATTCCTTTCTTTCTTTTATCTTCTTGTCTCAAGAGAGTCAGCTGGATTACTCCACTTCACTTTCTCTCTCCTCTCCCCACCATTTTTACCATAAGATAGCTTTTATATCTGGTGGTTACGTGACAAAGAATAAGCAACGAAGGCAAGATTGTGACAGTTTAATTTTCTGGTACATTCATCAACTTTTCATCTTTATTACAGTGCTTTTTCTGGACTAGTACCAGGAAATTATTAGATATACAAGAGCTGAAATTACTAATGGTATAAACTGAAAACAAAACTTACTCAAAAACACATCAGCAGAGCAGCAGGGATGTGTGGGCATGGGGTCTCAATGATAGGTAGAGAGCAAGGGTTGGATTAAATCCATGTGAAAAATTCTCACTGGGGTTTTCTAACCATCCTTTGTCTGATTTTTGAAAATATTTTTATTCAGGGCCTTGGAGTCTTATGAAACAAGGAAATAGCTTGGCTAGTTTGATTCAAAATAAGCTGTTATAGCCAAGTAACTCCTTTAAATCTAGGTGAGGCGGAGGCCTCTCAGCAGCTTGGTGATATCCTAAGGGAAATGAGCCAGGAGGTTTCTCTGGGAGATGTTGACAAGGGTCCATGACAGGGAAACATTCATTGCAGTCAGCAGGCTAGTTGGCAGCTGTGGCCCATGGGCTGAAGATTGAATTGCCTCTAAGGCAAGTCCTGACTAGTTTCTCATCTTAAAGGATGGCTGGGCATCCCAGCAGAGTGAGATGGAGTTCAGTGTGACTGTATCTCTGTGAGTAAAATACCAACATGATTTAGCCTTCAGTGCGCCCTGCTCCAATCAATTCTCTTCACTACAGCCAGAGTGATATTTTAAAAACAGAGAAATTGAATTGTGTTACTACCCTGATGAAAGTCTGAGCTCCTTCACATGGCCCGCAAGGCCTGGCAGAATCTAAAACTGGTAATATTTTATGAACAGCACACTAATGTCCACACAGGATCTGGCCCAAGCTTATTTTTCCAGTTTCATTTCAAATAGGCAAAGCTCCTTTTTGTAACTAAGTCTTCTCAAACATTCTTTTCTGTCTAGTAGGTTATTCCTCTTCCCTGGGCCTGTTTCACTTCTGTTTCATATCTCAGATGAACCATCACTATCATAGAGAATCCTTCTCTGACTCTCTCAGAGTAGGTCAGATTCCCCTTGTTGAAAGATCTCACATCCTTGGTAGAATTTATTACACATTTCACTCAATGCCTTGCCCATCTGAGCCCATCTGTGAGGTCTATGTGGCATTTTGTTCATCACTCTGCCTCTGGGCTTAGTAGAAGGCTAACTAATGTTCTTTGAATGTACATGACTAAATGATTCTTTCCATTTCTAACTCGACAGATGAAAACTTTAGCCTCTATAGTTTCCCTGCCTTCATTCTCTACCTGATGAATTCTTGTTCATCTTTCAAGATGAAGCTTAATGATATCCTTTTCTGAGATAACTTTTATAGTCATTCTCTGCACCAGTCAGGGAAGGCATGGTGGCTTAAGTCAACAAAGGCATATTTCTAGCTCATGCAACATGTATATGGTGCTTGCCTGGTGGCTTGCTCCTCACTTGGGGGCCCAGGTTGAAAGAGTCTCCTTGTCTTTACTTCCATAGGTTACAAGGCAGAAACAAGAAAATGTGGTAAACTGGATGCTGGCTCTTAATCTTTCCACTTAGAAGTGATTTGCTTCCACTCAGATTTCATGATTAATCATGAGATTAATTTAAACCATGCTTAAATTTGAAAAGGATGGGGAAATACAATTGTGCTATGTGCCCAGAGAGAGGAAAACTGATGATGTTTTATAACATCACACTAATGTCAAGCAGCCCTCTCTAATACCTGGGTTTTCTTCTTGTTTCCAACCTCTCACTTGTTATGCCTGTTTTCACCTGGCCTTTCATAGTCCTACCAAAGACCTTATAAGCAACGATAACTAAATCACTTCCAAAATCTTAATGTCACCACACTACTCTATGACTCCTTCTTTTAGTTTTCCAGCTCTTGGACTCCAGTGGTCTGACTGTAATAATTCCTTGCCTTCATCAGGATTCTTGGTACAAGTTGAGTTCCCCAGGAAGCAACCTCTGAGATAGTGATTGGCCTGCAGGAAGTTGATTGCCTGAATTATTTCACTAATTTCTGGTGTTTTGTTCTTATTTCTTAGTTATGAAAGTCTTGCTAACTGTGGGTCTCCTTCTCAGATCTCAATGACCTCACAATAACTTTTATTTATAGGCTGTCAGATCTTTAACTCTGAAAACAATCTGATGTTATTTCAATGTATTTTATTCGGAAATAAATCAACTTACTTTTCTTTTAAAATAAATAGATTGATGAGTTTCCTAGTGATTCAATGTAGCCGTTTTTATCCTCAGCTTCCATACGTTAATAATATTAAAGCTCCAATGATTATTGTAATAGAAATACTATATTTGACTAATCACCATTTTCAAGAAGCTTTCATGAAGTAAATCATAGTAAATAACTTCTGAATTCAAATCCCAGGTCTAGCATGTTCTAACAGGATGACTTTGTGTCAGATATTTAACTTCTCTAAGCCTCAGTTTTCTAGACTATAAAATGGGAGTAGTGTTTGTATTTTGCTCATGGGATTGCATATGGATTGAATTAGATAATGTCTTTACAGATCCAAAACATTGGGTTCAGACTTGACCATTGGAATAAAATGATGAGGTTACTGGGACCCAGAGTAGTTGAATGCAAGTCATAGGCTATTAATCAGCAGAACCACAACTAGAGCTCACATTTTCTATCTTGGATTCCCATGATGTACTCATATCCTTCTTTCTCTAACCATCACACACAAGCAATCTGAGTAAAAGGGAACATAAATCTACGTTTGAAAACAATTTCCAGAAAAGGCTAAACTCTGTGTTTAAGGCTGTAGGTTATTTTAATCCCTATCATGAACTTTTATGAGAAAGCAGGTGATGCTCTGAACTCCATCCCAAAAAGAACAAGATCTTTTGTTGAATCAGCTCATTATTCTATCACATGGGGAGGAGCCCCAGGTCAAAGGATGAGAGACATTAATTTGCATCAGGCAACAGCAGTTATCTGTATTCATAGTACAACATGGGAGAAACTGGCTACACCATTTTGTAGCATATGGATTGAAGCATGTCTTAGTAAGACATACAAGCAGAGAAGGACTGGATTCCCTTGATCCCTCTCATAAAAGCTACACCATGTACTGTGGATACCTAATAAATATTCATTGATATCAACTTCGTGGACACAGAACTCCTTGAATTTGGACATTTAAAAAGAGTATTCTCCTTGGTAAGAAACTAATAGTTGTAAATTCAGTCTTCATACTTCTTGGACTCTTACCTGTTTTGTCTCACCATGCATCGTTCTAGAAACACTTTCAGCTCAGGATGGGATCTAATGCACCAAGCTGAATTTTCACCTAAGCTTTTGTGTTTAATGCATGTTACTTTTTCTCTTGGCTTCAGTGGACATTCACCTTTTGTAATTTATCTGCAAAATGATTACACTCTTGTTCCATTATTTTACTAACCATGATCTTAATTTTCTTTTCCTTCAGATATTGATGAGTGTGCAGCTAAGATGCATTACTGTCATGCCAATACTGTGTGTGTCAACCTTCCTGGGTTATATCGCTGTGACTGTGTCCCAGGATACATTCGTGTGGATGACTTCTCTTGTACAGGTGAGCTTTAAGAAGCAGTGTTGTTTTTCTAATTCATCCATTCTCTGTACCATGTCTGTGTTGTTACATTTAATTATGAGTGCACAAAGTGCTATTTTTACCTAAACAGTTCTTCTCTTTATTATTTCACCCCCACCATTTGAGAAAAAAGCAATAATAAAAAAATTGTCAGCATAATTGATTTCCACTCCCAATATTTCTGCCTCTGTGTGTGTGCTCGCATACACGGGTATGTGATTTGAAACTGAAGTCTCAGTTGCCTATAGTAACACTGAGGGAGTTAGATATACTAGTTCTAAAAATAGAAAGTCTCAATTATTTTAATTTCATCATGATGAGATGTTTTTGTATATAAGAAAATGTACTTTGTTCCCACTGGGAAAGACAAGGATAAAATTTAAAGAGGTGACAGGGAGCACTTGGTGGTCAAAGTTTAGGTTTATGGGAGCCAGTCAAAACTATATTTAATTAATATATGCTTATTGTCTGTGTCCCGCTTCTTCCTATATCCCTTAGCACTAAAGTGGTCACTGACTCTGTTGGAGTAGTGCTGGTTTTATGGGGCATTTGGTTTGGCTTTCCAATATATTTTCAATCATGTGCATACAGACATGAACAGTAAATTGGATAAGGGTTGTAGAAGATTCCAAGTCTTTCTTCTCTTGGACCAAATGTGTTTAAATACCCAATCTGCAAGTTATAAGCAAAGGGTCCCTTGAACCCAGCGTTTCAATCATGTTGTAACTTTTGGGCATCTTTCTCTTTGTTCCAATCGCATTGGCATATAAAAACTGGATTGTTTACCCAGAATATAATACTGCTATTTTTAAATGTACTTTTTTTTCCTGAATGACCTTTTCAGAAGTGCAAAAAGTCGCAGAAGTTAAGGGCACATGTTAGTGTGTCCAAATTTCTTTGCCAGTGATGTATATTTGTAAGTTAACCATTCTTTGGGTGAAGGACTGGAGAGTTGAGATTGATGCAGGTTTCTGAGGACCACATAAGGTCAAATCTCATTTATCTGTCTTTTACATATTATAATTAATATTCCTAGGAAAGGAAGAGAGAGACTGCATAAACATAGTGTGCTAGGATTTCAGTGTTTTAAAGGATCAAAATTTTTTGGATCAATAAACAAACACTTTCTAAAAAGCTGTAAAATTACAGGGCCTATCACTCTGTTCTTAATAGTAAATGCAGCTCTTAACTTCTTTTAACCCTATTAGAAGAAGCCAGTGAATATCCTCCTAGCCCAAGAGCACCACATTATGCAACTCAATAAACATTAATTAAGGCCCTGCTGTGTGGAAGACCTTGTTGAAATTCTATCAGAATACTTGTCTGTGCTCGGATTTCCTCACTGAGGAAAGAAGGCAAGAGCTGGCACTTGTCGAATGCCTTAATAGGACAGGTGCTGTGTCTGGTGGTTTATATATGGAACAAGATGGAAAATGTATTATCTTAAGAAGTGGCTCCAGAATTACTTTTAGAAAGGGAAATACATTGTTTGGAATAAAAGGTAACGGTGCAGGTATCAGTGGGCACCCAAGGGCCCTTCTCCCTCCTACACAGAAAAGAGTAAATAATACCTCTGCAGGAAAAGTCTACATCAAACACACACACACACTTTTTTTGTTTTGTTGTGTGTGTGCCTAAGAGGGAACACAAAAGACAGAACAAAAGAGAGAAAGAAAGGAGGGGAGAGGAACCAGTCGGAGAGCAGAAGGCTCGGTGCTGTGGAGGACAGAGGGCTGGTGAAAACCATGCAATAGTAGGATAGCTGAAAGGATTTTTAAGAGAAGAAATATTTTATGTGAGGTTTTTTTATTGCTTTGCCATACAGTATGCTATGTGAGTTTTCCTCATTACCCTCAAATCTTCAATAAAGTCTTCCCACCCTGAATGCCTCATGAGAACTGCCCTCCCTCTCCTGTTAGAATGTAAGTTAACATGGTGGACAACAGAAAGGATACCAGTGCGATTAGGATGTGGGGACCACAGAGGTAACCGTTATTGAGTAACCATTGTTACAGTTCTTTCTGCTGCCCTCACCAACATACACTTACTAATACACACACACATCATTATCATCACTGCCTCCTCTCAGGAATTTCAGAAATCTTGTTGGGGACTGTGGACTTTCATAGGTCATAAAATAGGTGAGGATTTGTTTTCTTTAAAAAGCCTTCTTTTGATCCCAGATTTCTTTCAACCTGCTGCCCTATTTTTCTGCTTTTTCTCACAACAAAACTTCTTAATTTGCCTGTGGTTATTGTCCTCACCTTACATTTATTCAGCTCACATATGCTCCTCACTTCTCTCCAGTCAGACTTCCATACTCACCATTGTGCAGAGGCTACATTTATCAAGGTCATATATGAACTCTGTTTGCTAAATCCAATGTTCTTATCTCAGCAGCATTTAGCAGGGCTGACCACACCTTGCTCTTTAAAGCACACTTTTTTTCTTGACTTTTGTGCCATCCTATTTCCTGGTTTTCCTTCTTTGTCACTTGTCACTCCTGCCCAGTGTCCCCAGCTATTCTTCTGCTGCTGACATCTGAAAGGTTACAGTACCTGCGGGTTCTGCCCTGGTCCCTTCCCCTGCTTACCTATAGGTTCTTTTTAGATGCCTTCATCAATCTTAGACCTTTAATATTATCTTTATGTCAACAATTCCTAAATTTATTGCTCCAGTTCTAGTCTTTTTCCTGAACTTCTGAATTATATATTCAACTTGACATATTCACATAGATGCTTAGTAGGAATTTCATGCTTAACATGGATAAGACAGAACTTGATTTCTTTCCACTTCTGCAAACCTCCTTTTCTCCCAATTTCTCCCATTCCAGCAGAAGCACCATGTACCCAATTTTTCTAACCAAAAATTTAGAAATAACTCCTTCCTCTCCCCAGGGGTTACACTTGATCACCCCTCCACTTTCAATCCATGCTTTTGTCTTGTTGATGCTACCCTTTACATCTTGTCCTAAGTCTGTCCACTTCTGTCTAAATCCCCTATTAACATCTTATCCCCTATTAACAGCCCTGGCCATCACATTTGACTTTCTGCTCCAGTCTTGTTACACCATAACCCATTCTTCACATAGCAGACAGAGCAATTTTTTTTTTTTTTTAAAAAAGAGAAGTCATACAACTGTACTTAAAACTTTGATCTAGTGTCTCATTACATGGAAATCAAATCCCTATTTCTTATTTCAATGTATAACCCTATGTGGTTTTCCTTCTTTCCCTTCTGTCTTGTACCCTTTCTTTCCCTGTCCATTATGACATGGCCATTCTGACCTTTGTCTTTTTCTCCATGTAACAAGCTTTTTTTCTGTTTGTTAAGACCTTTGCATGAACTCTTGCCCTTTTATAGAAGTCTTTTTTCTCTTCGTATTTGTGTATTGAGCTCTCTTGTCATTTACCTCTTAGCCTAAGCCTCAGAGAGGCTTTCCATGGTCAATATAAATAGCCACTCTGTTTTTTCTGTCATACCACCTGATTTTAATTCTCTGAGTAATGCATATTATTATCTGGAATTCTCTTATTTATAAATGATTCTTTTATTTGTCTCTTTCCACTAGAACGTAAACTCTGAGAGCAGGGAACTTTTTCCTTTTGTTCTCTACTATACCTTGACTACTGAGAATATTACCTGGCAAAAAGCAGTGCTCAATAAATATTTGTTCAATGAAATAATGCATAAAGCTACTTGACTTTGGGCAAATTCTTCACTTTTGAAAATCTCATTTATAAAATATTGCTCACATCTGTCTTACCCACAGGTTATAGTGAACATCAACTAATATATGTGAAAGTATTTATCATAGCACTTTTAACAGTAAGGATAGGATGTTCTGTAGGATGTTCTGTAGGATGTTCAGAACATTCTGTAGGATGCTCTAAATATAAGTGACTTAAGATAAATTTTATTTTTTGCTTATGCTATTTGTCTATCCCTGATCAACAGAGATGTTCTGCATATCATACTCACTTTGGGATGCCAGCTGTTGGAATGGTCACTGTGGTGAACATTTCCAGTCACCAAGACAGGGAAAAGAGATCCTGCAGGCCCTCCATCAGCCATTAAATGTACTGACCAAGAAGTGACACAAATCATGTCTACTTACAACTCATTGATTAGAACTAGTCGCTAGTTCCATCCAACCACAAAGGGATGAGAAAATACTGTCCTACCTCATGCCTGGAATGGTAGAGAACCAGAAATATTTGGCAAATGGTACCCATGCCTACTATAGTGAGTGATACTAACACATTGCCAACAAATATAGTTTATTTTGACATGAGTAGCTGTTGATTAGGATAACCTTTTTTCAACAGCAGTTCATAAGCTATGTAGGTATTCTAAAAAAGTATGGGCACATTGTATTAAGTGCTATGATAGAAATGCAAGCAAAATACATTGAAAAATGGCTCTTGATTGCCAAGATGAAGTGTTTGAAATGTTTTCTTAAAGCCATGGGGGGCTGTGGAAATTGACTGAGGCATGCTAGCATGCAATGGCTATATTATGTTAGGGATTTACAATGAGAAGTATGGATGGGAGATAGGAGAGAGGAGAGCCTCTAGGACAGATTCAAGGACCTTCATTAGACACTAGACACTACATAGTAAGCTCGAGTCTTTGGAATGCTGACATTTACTTTGTGTCGTGAAAATAAGCCTGTTAGACCAAATGGGCTCTGTACTCTCCAAGATATATTATGTCCCCATCCATAATCTCTGCCATTTTTTATTGGCAAAGAAGACTTCTTTCCCTAAGTGGTCATTTGCCTGTGGAATAGATGAGGTGTATGATAGATATCTGCCACCATAAAATGTCTGTTCAGATGTTTCATTGCCAGATGATAATTTACCTGGAGAAGTTGACAGGCCTAAAGGCATTCCTTTATTTGACTCAGGATTCTGATATAGCATTTCCATTATTGACATTCTTTATTTCCAAAGACCATTCTAGTCTCTTCTCAAATCAAT